CAAAGATCTAGCTATTGATGGTTAGATCTATTCGTCAATAGTGGTCATATCTTGGCTGTTGTTGATGGCCAAACGATGGCAAGATATGTGGCCGTAGATTTGGCCTTTTTGACCAAATCCACCGTAGATCTGGCTGGAAAAGGCCACGATCGGTCAGATACAATAGGTAGTGCGCCATTTTGATAGATTCCGGCCACTTCCGACGATGGTGGCCGACTGTCGTCAATATGTAGGTGGGTGGAGGTGTTTTTGTCAATTTATAAACTTTTATTGTGGGGGTGTTTAGTTAAATTAATAAACCTTGTTTGTTAAAAATAATTTAAATATTTTCAGAAAATGCTATTCTGAAATGTACCAAAAACTTCTCAAAATCCTATCATATTTTCCAAAAATACTGGGTGTGTTTGTTTTGTTATTTTGGATAAGATTTTTGAAATAGTATTGTGGAGTTGAGTTGAGTTATTATTACAAGAGTAGGATTTGAATAAAATATGTTTGGTAGAGTATTTTGACCTTGTTATTTGTGTTGAATAAATTGTTGAATATTTGTTTGGTATATTTTTTATAAATGATTTATTAATACAATATTTTGGTGCATTTTGTTAAAATAATTTATTTTTATCACCTAAAAACTTATCAATTTACATTTTAATAATATTAAACATTTGATTGGTAATTTCGTAACCATTAAATTAATAAAAAAATTCTCATATTAATTTCAAGTACTAATCCAACTGTTTAAAAACACCACATTAATACATATATGATAAAGCTACTAATTATCAACCCTTAAAATCGTTTGTATACCTATACTCCATTAACAACTACGACATGGTCATATGTGCTACCCACAGTTCAGTCGTTATGTTATTCCATACAATCGTCATGTCGTTTATAATACCTTGTCACGGTTGACTCAATCCCTCTCCATTTCCGCCATCTTCTGCCCCGTTTTGGCCATCAAAATATACTTGTTCCTTACCTGTATTTTCAGTATACCGTTGGAAGATAGGGTCTTCCATATTGTACATTCTAATAAAATTATGAAGTACACAACATGTCATAACAATCTTCCCTTGTTTGTCCAACGGGTAATTGTTCATTCCATTGAGAAAACATAATTTTTTTTTTTAAAACACCAAAGGTTCTCTCGACAACATTGCACAGTGATGCATGTCTGTAGTTAAACAACTCTTGTGGCCCCCTTCGGTTACGATGATGATCATGAATATGGTAAGCCACTCGCCTATGAGGGGTGAGGAACCCCTCTCTATTTGGATAACCCGCATCAACCAAATAGTATTTTCTTATAATAAAATCACACGTGTTATTTGAATTCTGGGGCCTAAAAAATGGAGCCAATACGCTATAATATGTAAAGAAGATACTTATACCTGGTGGATGATGTGGGAATCCAGAATTAGGATCATTAAGAACTGAATTTAAAACTCTTGAATCATGCGTAGATCCTTCCCACCCAATGACGACATAATTGAACATCATCCTAAAGTCGCATACAACCATTACATTATGTGACAACGTTCCTTTGCGATTCTAGTACCTATCGCCAAACTCCTGTGGAACCGAAGCATACACATGTGTGCCATCGCTCCAATACAGTCCTATCATCAAAATTGAATTTTAGTAATATTAACAGACTATCAACATTAATAACACAATGAACTTAACTACCCACTAATATAAAACATAATGAAGAAGTACCTGAAAGAAAGGGTAATATTTTCGATTGGTCGATATTTCTAGTGAAACAACACTGAAGTCAGGTGGCCTGATAAACTCTGTCTTCAACTACATATCGCCTCGCAAACTTCTCCAACATATCTAAAGATCTTCTCACCCGAATGTTGGAAATCCTTCATCATGGTTCTGATTGTCTTGTTTTTACCAACGATTGTAAAAAATATCATGACTTCTTCTTCAATACTCATCCTCTTGGTTGATCATAATTTCCCTTGTTGTGCCAAAATGTAACATAAGTTTGTAAAACAGTATTTGCCAATGCGACACTTGTCAAAGATTTTGTCATCATGACCATTTAGTACTTCCAACATGTAATCATGACCAATTAATACGGATATATGTCGTAACTGACGCCCATTTGTTTCCAATGCGGCAACAACCCACAGTGCAACGGTTATATCTGTCAATATTTCTTTTTCGTCATCTACAGTACGTCATCTTCTTCCTGTACGCCTAGACGACGCCATTTAAACCAGTACATTTGTAAAACATTAATGAACATTTAACAGTTATTGTAGTATTTAGCAAAATATGACAGTGAATTTTTAATTCTAATTACAATACCAAACTCGTATGAAACATGTTATCTCACATAAAACAATAGCACAATGAATAAGTTCATACAGTCACAGACAGTTGGGTACATTTTTCAAATCAAGGTGCTGAAAAAAAGTTTAGGATAGCTGTAAAAGGAATAAGTGCCCACTAGCGCATACAAAACTGTGGGCAAACACCTAGGACATATAGGGTCATCTACAAATTGCGAAAGTCGTTATAAACCCAATTAGCCTTTTCCTTAAGCGGGAGTTTTACGAATACCTCTCGCCACCCTGGATTTTGATATAAGTACTTGACAACCGACATGTAAAACTCTGTGGGTACTTGCATGGCCGTCAAAATGTCAATACAATGGCTCATGGAAAACAGATCAGATGGAGCACTAGTGTTCTCTTCGTCCCCCTCATCTCCACTGCGATTGCTAGCCCTCGATCCCATACTCCTCTCTACAAGCACGTCCATCAATTTGCCAATGACATCCACAAGTGCCTGTCCTGGGCCGCTTCTCTTCTTCCTATTTCTCGGTCTTGCATGACCAAATGTGTTTGACCGTTTTTCCCCTATCATTCGATCCAGATCAGGTTCGAAGTCACTATCATCAATGTCAACCGGTCCCTGATCGGAAGAAGTGAAGTTCTCCACCGGTTGAAACATAGATGTGTATGCATATCTCCCTGTGGTAGTTTGCTTCTCAAATATGACTTCATAAAGCTCCCTGTGAGGAAGTCCCTTGTGGAAGAATTGCTACACCTGTGGGTTTTACTGCTAATGAAAAATAAACATATATTGATATATGTCAACCCCCAAAAAAATTAGTAAAAGTACGGTGTCATAGATTAATATGAATTAAAATTTTTGAAATTTACCTTGATATATTCTTGCTAAACCTGTATAGGACACGTTGGAGTTTATGACTCATGATCCCAACCAAAGCCCGTGTGTTGAAGCAATTTCCGCCATGCTTGATAAATTTTTCTCAGGTGAAAGTACTTAGAGGCTAGTTGTGTCACGTTGACTCTCCTCCTAGCCAATGATGATAAGTCATCCAACATATCCGAGTAATCTACTGTTTTTATTGAAGTATCGTGAGAAGTTTTCACCCACTCAGACAATAGGACCAGAAATTTGTGGGTCATCTCAGCCAACCAGTTCACATTATTACTCATCTAATAACAGTACGGTGAGAATGACAACCAAGATTGGGACACCATAGTAATCAGAAAACACATTACCAATAAACATGCGCACACTTAAACCTCATAAACTAAACACAGATAAATTGTTATCTCGTTCGATCTAACACTACTTGAAGCCGTCAATGCAAAGGAAAATATGGGCAGTGTTGACCAACAGGGTGTATGACAAACTCCAAGTCTGGAAAAATGTCGAAACTTCCTCTTCTGTTGAAAGTAGTAATTGATACTACGACAGTGGGCCAAATTATAATGACTTTTGGTCATACGATCATAATTTGTTGTTACGATCAAATAACGATGCCGAATTTGCCCAAAATTTCAAGTAACCATGGTTAATTAACTGTAGTTGACAGTAACTATAGTAACCAATTCAACTAACTAGGCTAATTACTTCTAGCCATATACGTCCATATTAACTACAACCTAACCAACTACGAAAAAAACACAAACAACTAATGAAATTTATACACTGCATTGCTTACAAGTAAAACATAATCAAATGTAATACAAATGCAAAATGAAATAAATATAAACTAAACCCAGAACAAATGCATAATAAAACAAATATTTCACAAATGCATCCTAAAACATAAACTAAACATAAACTAATATTTCACAAAAATATTAAACATAGGCTACTGCTTAAAGAATGTAGTGGCCTCAGGTTAGATGACCTCTTGCCAACGATGGTGGTGGAATTGCTACTTGTTAAAGAAGCTGTTGGCCTCGGGTTGGGGGAGGTTTTACCAACGATGGTTCTGGATATGGGCTTTTGTGCGTTGGCGGTGGCGCTTGAAAGTGGTGGTTGTCGATCATGGTGGACTCGGGTTGGAGAAGAAAACATTCCTTTTGCTAGTGGATTCACGAACTTGTCAATGCTGTAGGTGGTGCTCGAACGTGGTGGGTTTTTGAATGCCTTCGATTGTGTTACCGTGGTCAAGGAAGAAGAAGAAGAAGAAGAAGAAAATAAGGAAGAGATGGGTTTTTGAATGCCTTCAACTGTGTTACCGTGGTGAAGGGAGAAGAAGAAGAAGAAAATAAGGAAAAGATGGGTTTTTGAATGCCTTCAACTGTGTTACCATGGTGAAAGAAGAAGAAGAAGAAAATAAGGAAGAGAGAGGAAAAGCAGAAAAAAAAAAAAAAAAAAGCAGCTAACCTTTTGTCAGAACGGTCATTAACTGCTTCAGGAATCACATTTTTACAATTTGATTCTCTGAGTACTAAAACAAAAACATTTCCCCTAAATCTTATTCCAAATACAAATAGAAATAGGGACCCAAACGCACCCAGCTGTTTTCCAAAAATGCTATTCTAAATAGTGAACCAAAAGGAGAATTAATATTTCCCAACTCAATGGGGTTAAATGAATAAGTTCAAACCTAAGTGGAGCTACATGTGATTTACCCAAAAAAGTATTTTCTACGCGTATAAAATTGCAAATTAAAAATTAAAAAAATGAAAAATTATCCTCTTCCCTCTCCCTCGTTCAACAGACTCACGGTTTGAATTTCTACATTTATGCCACTGGAACCTCACAACTTTCCCGCAAAAATTCATCACAACTCAAAATTTTTCAGGAAACCATCATTTTCCCAACAACCAAACACGCCAATGGACGCCTTCAAGTCCACCTTCTTTATCACCACCACCCCACTCCTTCCTTCCAAACCCTCCTTCCAAAAAGTCTCCAAAACAAAACCCAGGATCCCAATCAAGTCCTCTTCACGAGTCCAGCCAGACCCATGGTCCTTAAGCGACGGGAACGACATAACAAAGCCGAAACCCCGGTTCAAAAACCCTAAAAACCCTCTCTCAGACGACAACGCGCGGCGCATAATAAAGGCGAAGGCGAAGTACTTGAGCGAGCTGAGGCGGAACCAGGGGCCAAGAGCGATGACGCCCAAGTGGATAAAGAGGACGCCGGAGCAGATGGTGAAGTATTTGGAGGATGATCGGAATGGGCAGTTGTATGGGAGACACGTGGTGGCGGCGATAAAGGCTGTGAGAGGGAGGGATGAGAAGGTGAACATGAGGGTTGTGATGGGGAGCTTTGTGGGAAAATTGAGTTTTAGAGAAATGTGTGTGGTGTTGAAAGAGCAAAGGGGTTGGAAACAAGTTAGGGATTTTTTTGATTGGATGAAGTTGCAGGTGTGTTTTAATTTTAAGTTTAATATTTTATTATGATTAATGTTATTAAATTTATTTTATTTTATTTGGTTGAAATAGTCAGAAGATATTGCACACAAAATTTATTGATTAGTGCTTCATTTTTCTTTATGGCAGAAGCTAAATGTTCAATGTTATCAGTTGCAATTATTTTTCTTAAAAGCGCAGAATTGTGTTGTTTTTTCTTCTAAAAAAGAAAAATTAATATAGTGTAATGATAGATACGTGCTTTAACAGCTAAGCTATCGCCCCAATGTTGTTGTTTATACAATTGTTTTGCGCTTATACGGGCAAGTTGGAAAGATAAAGCTGGCGGAACAGACGTTCTTGGAGATGCTTGAAGCAGGATGTGAACCAGATGAAATTGCTTGTGGTACTATGCTTTGTACTTATGCCAGATGGGGACGCCATAAGGCGATGTTGACATTTCATTCTGCCATAAAAGAAAGGGGAATTACACTTTCTACTGCAGTATACAATTTTATGCTGTCGTCTTTGCAAAAGAAATCGTTCCATGGAAAGGTGATAGACTTATGGAGGCAGATGGTGGGTGAACAGGTTGCACCTACTGATTTTACTTATACAGTAGTCATCAGTTCACTAGTTAAAGAAGGTCTTCATGAAGACGCTTTGATGACCCTTAATGAGATGAAGAACTCTGGGTTTGCTCCTGAGGAAGTAACTTATAGCCAGCTTATTAGTTTGAGTACAAGAAATGGTAAATGGGATGAGGCACTAAAATTATACGAGGACATGAGATATCGGGGAATCATTCCTAGTAACTACACTTGTGCTTCACTTTTAACTTTGTATTACAAGAATGAAGATTATTCTAAAGCCCTTTCTCTCTTTTCTGAAATGGAGAAGTATAAAATCGCTGCCGATGAAGTCATTTATGGTCTTCTCATTCGAATATATGGAAAACTTGGTCTTTATGAGGATGCCCAGAAAACATTTCAGGAGACCAAGCGGCTAGGCCTACTTAGTGACGAGAAAACTTATTTGGCAATGGCACAAGTCCATCTTAAAACTGGGAATGTGGAGAAAGCTTTGAATGTTATTGAAGTTATGAAATCCAAAAACATTTGGTTCTCAAGATTTGCTTATATTGTCTTGTTGCAATGTTATGCCATGAAAGAGGATTTGGCCTCTGCTGAAGTCACATTTCAGGCTCTCTCCAAGACTGGACTTCCTGATGCTGGTTCTTGTGATGACATGCTGAATTTGTATATAAGATTGGACTTAACAGAAAAGGCCAAAGATTTTATTGTCCAGATAAGGAAAGATGAAGTGCTTTTTGATGGGGAGCTTTACAAGACAGTTATGAGAATTTATTGCAAGAATGGAATGGCAAGAGCGGCTGAGAAGTTAACGGAAGAGATGGGTGAAAATGTATCATTCAAGGATAATTACTTTTTTCAAACATTTTTTAAGACTATGCATGGGGGATTTCTGGGAGCACAATCTGGAGACAAACTTTTGGCCTCCAACCAACTTGACTATACGGCACTGGGGCTGATGCTTAGTCTGTATCTGACGGATGGTAATTTCAGTAAGACAGAAGAAATTCTGAAATTATTGCTTGAGGCGGCTGGTGGCTCATCTGCAGTGAATCAACTCATTAGCAACTTTGTTAGAGAAGGTGCTATTGTTATTTTTAAGTTCATCTGTTGACAATAATAGTCACTTCATTACCCAAGTTACCTTTCTCTTTTTTTTTTCATCCATTTATGTGTTTGATGATGAAGCAATAACTTAATTAGTGGGTTTGTGCTCCAACTTTTATGCTCTACATAGGTGATGTATCTAAAGCAAAAATTTTAAGAGATCAGATGACAAAACTAGGCTGCAGATTGGAGGATGAAGTTATCGCCTCTTTGATTGGTTTATATGGGAAGCAACAAAAGCTCAAAGAGGCTCAAGATGTCTTCCAAGAAGTTGCAGATTCGTCTAAACCTGGGAAATTGATAATGAAATCAATTATCGATGCATATGCCAAATGTGGTAAAGCTAAGGAAGCGTACTTGCTTTATGAAGAAGCAACTGCACAAGGGCATGATCTGGATGCTGTTGCTATCAGCATACTTGTGAACACGTTGACTAATTGCGGTATGACCGAACTGTAAACCATTTGTTCCTTTTTTTTTTTTTTTTTCTATTTGCTGGGATCAATAGAATTTAGGAGCTACGGTTATTTGAAAATCTTCTTAAATAATTCACAGTTGATCATGGATTAGGGATTCGATTGCATTTAATGAATTTGGGTTAAAAAGTCACAAGTTTTACCATCGCAAATATGAAACAATTTTATATCGTCTAAATTTACTAACGGTGTATAATTTGTTTGATAGTTGTTTTATGTCAAAACCAGTACTAGTTAGGAATTTTTTAGTTATAGCAATATCGGAGCTTATTGTATTCCAGGCTTGTGCTCTGTACAATTGAAGGGCCTGTGAAAAAGTCAAATATTTTTCCAAAATCCATGTACCCATAAAATTAAAAAAACAAAAGTGTGATTTTGACTAGATACCTGAGAAGGGTTTTCTCTTTGTTTTCTAAACAGTGTTTTAGATGAGCTGAGGTCTTTATGGTATGCCCATAAATTTGAGACTGGAAATCTATCACTCATTTTATAGCTGCATATTCTGCACTAGAGAATTTGGAAGAGTCAATTTCATGCTTCATGGTTAAGCAGTTACCAAAATGCTATGCTGTTTTGTTTAATAATTAGAATTACCTATCTTCAGGCAAATATGAAGAAGCAAAGAATATCATTAGTAAGAGTTTCCAAGATAGCATGGACCTTGACACTGTGGCTTATAATACCTTTATTAAGGCAATGCTAGAAGCAGGTACATATGAATCACTCTTTATGTATTTTAGATACATACATGAAGAAGAAATTTTGCAATGAGCTATATGTATGGTGTTGCAGGTAAATTACATTTCGCAGCCAGTATTTATGACCGTATGCTTTCTTTGGGAGTTCCTGCATCAATTCAGACATACAATACAATGATTAGGTAAGAGCTTAGTGGATAAGAATGACTCAAAGAGATGACAAATATGTGTATGCATTTAGGATCCGAATATGCATTGAAAAATTGGCTAAAATCACATGAAACAATAATATTTACATTTTCTTTTCTGGTCATTGGTAAGAAATGAACCCAATATCTCATCTCACTGAAACTTGTAGTCCTTCCAATCAACCATGACCTTTGTTGGGTATTGATAATCAAGCATGAAGTCCAGGTTTACCAGCTTCTAAGTGTTTCGCACACTTGTCATCTCACCATGAAAAGAATGGAGAATAAGAACCATGAGGTTTTTAGTATTTTTTAAGTGGAAGTTGCATTTTCTCTCCCTCCTGTGTTTGTGTCTTGTTGAGTCTATCTGGCTATGTATCTACCGGTTTCTGTTATTTGACTAATAAGATTGTTTGCATGTGTGATGGACGAGGGTAAGCATGCCAGAATTCGATCGCAAGAAAAGTTTTAATACTAGTCAATATGATCTGATTTTGCCTCCTATATATGCATTTCTAAACGTGTGCACACACATATATACAATTCTGGTTAGTTATGTTGCTGTTCAAATTGGTTGATTTTGGTGTAGTGTGTATGGACGAGGTCGAAAACTGGATAAAGCTTTAGAGATGTTCAACACAGCTCGAAGCTCGGGTATCTCGCTTGATGAGAAGGCATACATGAATCTGATCAGCTTTTACGGGAAGGCTGGTAAAAATCTATTTTTATCTTTCTTAAAGAAACAAGTGAACCTGTAACATTTTAAAAATCTATATATTTGCCAGATTTTTTTTTTTTTTTTCTTTTTTTTTTTAGAGCATAAATTAAAGCAATGAAGTCCTTCCCTTTATTTCCAAAAGTTAGGTTACCTATTACAACCAAAAGAATGACATACAATATGTATGCATGGTTTATTCTACTTTTACTTAATTCTTGGTGACATGGAGTATGAAATGTAACTATTCCAAACACGTTTTGAGTACTTTTAACAACTTATAAATCAACTGGTAAACATAAAAGTTAGATGTTTTACTTTTCTTTGGGCATCAGATTCTCGAAGTTTTGAGATGTGCTTTCCTCTTTGATTTATCTTAATTGGAAGGCAAGGCTTGAATGGAGATTGCCACAATTTTTTGTTATTTTTCGTTTCGAAGATCTGATAGGATTCTATTTGATCAATTTCTTTTTCTTGTCTTTTGATATGTTAAGATCTCAATTCTCAAAGTGTAAAGCTTTCTTTTGTAACCCTTTTGAGGTCTTTATGGGAAGTATGTCCTTATCTCGGTGGACAACTTATTTATGCTTTTGCATATCTCATTATATTTGATAGAATTTACTTTGTTTTTTAATAAAAAATTCAAAAAATAAAAGCTGATACCTAAAAGATAAGCATATTCAGATACTTAATTGTTTTGTTAGGATAATTAATTAGACTATCCTAAGTTTTAGCTGAAACACAAGCAAATACCACTTGTTCTAGAATTCATTAAAAACCTCTTATGAAGTTTCAAAATCATCATAAACCTCTCTTAGAGTTCATATAGTATCTCCCTGGAAGTTTCATTAAATTTTCTAGAAATGTCACCAAAAAGAACTAATGCAATGGGGTTTGTCTGTGTTTTAGCGAAACCTCAAAGGGATAATTTTTATTATCCCTTTTTAGTATACTAACTACTGAGACAAATATGTAAAATATTTTGAATTGCCTTTATAATGATATCTAACTCATTTTCTTAGATATATAGAAAAATAGTAGTTAGATCAGGTATCATGTTTTTTATTTGCTAGTAATATGCTATAGCTTTATTATTTTATTCATTTTGCAGGTAAAACACTTAGATATATAGAAACATGGTAGTTAGATCAGGTATCATGTTTTATATTTGCTAGTAATATGCTATAACTTTAATATTTTATTCATTTTGCAGGTAAAACGCATGAAGCATCGCTTCTATTCTCTAAAATGCAGGAAGAAGGGATAAACCCTGGGCTGGTATGCATATAATTTGATCGAATACAGTTTGAACACTAACTAATTGATAATTATTGTGTAAACAATTTTCTTTCATACAATAACTTACTCCTATTGGGACCTTAATTGATTGGCAGTATAAACCTGAATGTGACCATGTTATTATGTTCTCTTCTGCTTTGACAATACTATGTTTAGTAGGATCATTCCTACAATTATCTCCTTTTATTTATTGAATCTTTAGTTTGACTAAGATTTCTTTTTGGTCATGCCATGCTATAAAAAGGATCTTTGAACCAAAACAAAACTTTTGTTGGTAATTTCCACATATGGTTTCCAATTACCCTTTTTCCTTGTGTTTTTTAAATTAGTTGAGTTTACAACGTTTACAACAATGCTATACATTATATTTATGTTTCTTGACTGGTTGATTAATATGGTGGTTACACTTGTCTTTACCGAGGAACTGTAGGTTAGCTACAATATTATCATCAATGTTTATGCTGCCGCGGGACTTTATCATGAAGTTGAGAAACTTTTTGAAGCCATGAAGAGAGCTGGCTTCGCACCTGACTCTTTCACATATCTTTCCCTTGTTCGTGCTTATACAGAAAGTTTGAAATACTCTGAAGCAGAGGAAACCATCAGTTCTATGCTGAAGCAAGGCATTCCCCCTTCCTGTTCACATTTTAATCACTTGCTATCTGCTTTCTTGAAAGCAGGTCTGATAGTGGAAGCTAATAGGGTGTACAAGGAACTACTAACAGCTGGTTTAAGTCCTGACCTTGCATGTTATCGGACTATGATGAGAGGCTACGTGGACTATGGATGTGTTGAAGAAGGAATAAACTTTTTTGAACAGGTTAGGGAATCTGCAGAACCAGACAGGTTTATTTTGAGTTCAGCTGTGCATTTGTACAAGTATGCAAACAAAGAACTTGAAGCTAATGGTATTTTGGATTCTATGAAATCTTTGGGGATCTCGTTCCTGAAAAACCTGAAAGTTGGATCAAAGATGAAACCCTCATAATACCTGTTTCGACAAGTATTTAACAAAGTCTAATACTTGATCAGGGAAGACAGGCTAATGACAATAAGTACCAGCTAGTTGTATTACCTCTGGAGACATGGTAGTTGGATAAGACCTACAAAAGTGCTAAGATGTCGTCTGGTGTATGAGGTTGATGGACAAATACTGTATAGTTGCTTTCAAGAAGTGACATGGCAGCGGGATCAGGTCGTTCTGTTAATAACATTCCTTTCTCAAGAGTCGATGAGCATTCTAGCATATGAAAACTCAAACTCAGTGCTGGAAGAAGTCATTGACCTTGAGAAGTTTACATTTATAGAGTGAAAAGGACCTGCTAATTTAAACTGGGATTGCCATCCCGGTCATACTGGTGTATGCATCAGCATCGTTTGTGGCTGATATATGGAAAATAATAATATGGCCTACTGAATTTCAGATTTTTAAATATGGCGTTAGGTTTCAAAGATGGTGGTGGTATTTATCTTTTGGTGCTGCATTGTATTTGCGTGAGAAGCTGTAACTGTAGCTTGATAAAGAAGTTGATCAACAGCTGCGTCTGTGAAATATCTAGCAGTGGTGATTTTAACATGCATTGGAATACAACTCAAGGTACATATATCTAATGTATAATTAATGTGCTCATGATTTTGTAGAACGCAAGCTGCTGTATCCAATGGATTGTTTTGTTTTCTGCTGATTCTACAAAATCTATAGACTGTTTCTGTTAAGGTCATAGAACTTTTTCAATATTTTCCGTGCATTCTTATACGAAAATTTATATGTGAAGGATTATCTGAACAATTCTTGTCCTTGCAATCAAATTTATGGTAACAATCCTTCTAATGCACCTCAAGAAACTGTCTAGACTGACCAAAATGGAATAATAGTCTGAATGGTGGATGTGCATTCATTTGCTCTTTCAATCATTAGTTTATATGCTAGTACAGTTATTCTAGCAAATCAGCACGATAATTTATTCTCAGTGTTTTTACTCCGAATATAGAGTGCCTTAACACTTAAGTTACAATTCTCCATAAATTAGCATTCAAAACCTGTATTTTTCAAGTTGTGTTCAGCCTTTTCTAGACAATGGTGAGTGATGGTAGCATTGGAGGCTTCATGATGAGAGTATATCATTTCTTCTAATATTTGGATCATTCTGAGGAATTAGTTCTTGATTTGTTTATTTTTTACTATTACAGGAGTTCGCCTAGGATAACTGGTGTAATCTGTCCACTGGATCGGAGGACCGCTTGGAAAACCCCATCTGAACACTGCAATGAAGGTTCATGGTGTCGTTGAACTTGCCAGCAGTGAGTCTCTTCCCTGTAAGCATCTGCAACAATGAGAGCCATAACTTGTTTCATAAAAGCATATTTTAGCAGGGGAAACTATCATAGACCTTGTTGAAACTTTAAATCTCATACTTAGACCTTGTTGAAACTTTAAATCTCATCCTTACTCTTTGTTTTCAGAAATTTCTGAAAATACCGGTTGATGATGGAATATTGAAATATAAGGATCTCTCACGGAATCGATGGTAGTATAGTTACCTTGTAGAAGACCATCAAAACTATTATTTGTTTCGATATAAAATCAGTTTGGTTTGGTTTGTTGGATTTCCTGTTGGAATAAGTTGTATTCAATTCCATATGGATTAAGCCTCTTTATGTAAATTTATAAAGGAATGGATAAGTATTGATTGAAGAGTAAAAAGATCAGCCGTATTCTTAAATTTAATATGAAACGATACAATCTGAGAGATTGCAAAAACTTAAAAGGGAAAAAAGTTAAAGGGGCTCGAGGCATGGAGTCCTTTTTGGTGGCTGACTTGAAGAAAAGTTCAACCTTGGTTTGGTGGAAAGCATGATTGAAGGGCTCGTTTATCTTATTGTTATACTTACACAACAAATAATATATAAATCTATTGCAAGTGCTGGCGGCCACTTTGCACTTGCAGAGTTCAAGGCCTTCAGAACAAAATATGGGAGGATAATGTTAGGTGCCTGTTGTGTGAACTGTAAAGAAAAAAGAGACTTCAAGAATTAAGGAAGAAGTGGAGAAAAAATGAAAGAGCCGAAATAAAGAGAAGGGGAAGGCAATAAAGTGGCAGAAGAAACTGACAGAGAGACAATCTGAAGATTTTTTTAGTTAATGCTAATTTACTAAATTACCTCTCATTGTAACAGGGAAGTATAATGACCATAAAAAATTGAAGGCTATTTAATAACAATACTAGCAGGTGTTCAGTAAAATTAAGTGAAACCTAAGAGTATTTACCGTAAAAAAAAAAAAACCTGAAATATTTATGATAGTGTTAAACTAACCGTTTGTAAAATGTATAGAGTAATAAAATCTTCGTACAAATATGTATGTACAAAGTGATGTCTCGGAGAATAAATTTGTAAAATCAAATTTTTAACTAAAATTAAATTCACTTTTTCATTTATGATATGACACATCACTCTTTATATATTTATATATATATGTGTGAGAACTTTGTAAGTTTGGTATTATTCAATTATATATGTTATGATGTGCTAAATCTAACTCCACTCTCTCTCTTGATCCACCCACTTTTAGATTTAATCATACTTCAGACTAATTTTCATTTTCTTTTGCTAGAAAACAAGTTGATTTATTTAAATTAATTTAACCTTTATATTACACTTTATTTCAATTTGATTTGATTTTTATTATTTTATTTAAAAAAAAAAAAAAAAGAACTAGAATCAATTTATTAAAGGTTTGTGATACTACTAGCAATTTAAGGTGGTACCAAAATTGTGAACTACATTTTCTCGTAGGTGTGTACTTAGAATTTAGAAACAATATCTAATACCAAGGTGGGTCAATGGCGTCGTCTCTCTTCAAAACCCTAATAAGGTCGTCGAATTCGCCATCAACGGCTAGATATCTGAGTTCGACCACCGCTGTCATCAGCAACCATACCGCCAAATGGATGCAGGTAACTTTATCATTAACCGTTAATTGAGTTTTTGGTCTTACGATTTTAACCAATTTTTTTTAAGAGATGTGATAATTGATTATCTTTTTACGTTAATTTAGTGAAATTATTTAAGAATTCGTTGCTTCTGGATGGTATTGGGACATTGTAGCACTAGGTTTAGATAGAGATTTAGAGTAAATTAGTTTTAGGGTTTGTTTGGGAGTCTTGTTGTAGAGAGGGCTTTCAGTGCTTTTGGGTAAAAGTAATTTTTTGCCAAAGCAGTTTGTGGAAAAGCACTTGCAAAGTGTTTATTCAAGAGCTATTTCAGCTGCTTATCTGAAATGTGTTTTGAAAAGGCACTTTCTAGAAATGCACTACATCCCAATGAAGAGTTTCTTAACTGCTTATATAAATGGTGACGGTGTTTAATTCAACGGTTGGATTATATATCTATATAGAGAATAACATATATCCTAATTGATAATAATTCACAACATAAATACCTCATTTCCTTGTTAATCAAAAGCATAGACCACCGTCCTCTTGGTTACAGTTAGAATAATAAAAGAAGAGAGAAATAGTCCCATCATGTGTGAGTGGGAGATATTAGATATGGGTGGGAGAAATAGTCCCACCCAATTTGATTATTGCGTTGTGGTAACTGCCTAAGGCGATTACCACTATCTCTGCACCTGTATAAGAGTTTTTCATTTGATAAAAAACTCTTCCACACAACTTTTACGCAAATATATATTTCTCTCTTCTTTCATTATTCTTATTGGAACCAAGATGACGGTGGTATGTGCTTTTGATTGACAAGGAAAGGAGGTATTTATGCTGTGAATTATTATTGCAGTTCGTTTACACACACACACACACTTAGACACATTAACACACACATTAACACACACACTTAGACACATTAACATACACACACTCTTAGACACATTAACACACACACTTAGACACATTATGACACACACGTAGACACACACACACACACACACTTAGACACATTATCACACACACACACACACACTTAGACACACACACACACACTTAGACACATTATGAAATGTCTTTGTTAATTTTGCGACTAGCATTCCCTTAACTCGAAAAGAGGAAGCCCTAGGCGTTTGCACATGTTTTTTTCTTCCCAATTCTTTTATTTTCTCATTTTCTAAAACTTGAATCAGAATCTCTAGTTGATAAGTTCTTTCTCATGTTTTGGAAGTGTAACTCAAATTCCATTTGATGAGTTTCTTTTTATTTTTTCGTATGTTCAAGTGTGAGACACCTTCAAACATTCCTTTTGGTAAAGAATGTGATATTTGCATTAGATTTACGGAAATATGTTTAGCTAATAGAGACGAAGAGAAATAGCGTCTTTCTTCAATGCTTTAATATGTTATACCATCTTGCTTGTAGTTATTCTGATTTCATTTTGCATGTACTTGTGATGGCGCTGACTGTGCAATCATACGTATTCTTCCATCCCCAATTTGTTTCACTTTGTTGTGAACATTGATTAGGCTTCAATGAAATTAATTGTTTTTTGTATTTTGAGTGAAGAAGTAGTTATAGTGGTCAAATTTAGTAATTCAGATGTTGAAGTTGAAGAAAAATAAGTTTGTAGTCTTACATCACTTTTATATACTTTCAAGTGCCTACTTAATAGTAATTATAAATTAGCCAGAAATTTTGGATAACATAATATTTTATTTTGGGAAATTGGTAAAAATGATCACATTTGTGGGGCTGTAATGTAAAATGACCACTTCCTCACCCTCTTCTTTGTATTTTCTAGTATGTTAGGTTTAGAACCAGAATAACCTCACATCTCTCTTCTATTTTTTCTTCCCTTTCTCCTTCCATTGATATTTTTTTTTCCCTTTTCCACTCATCATAAAACTCTTCCATCTCTCTAAACGCAAAATCTCTTTTCATATCTGTTTGAATGTACGGCAAGAAAATTTAAGTGTTGGTTACCTTCTAATCTACTGACATCAATGTTCATTGCAAGTTTGCTTTTTTCTTTCACTTTATTTTTTTTTACATTAGATCTACAAAATATAATGTTTATAAAAAATGAATCATGTCTTTAACTAAACCCTCTAATTGACCAGACCAAGACCCAAATTGTTCTTATAATAATTGCCTTATAACTATACCAATTTTTATAAAGCACTAATTGTTGAAAAAAAAAAAATTAAAAATGTACCCTGCGCTGTTTTGAACTTTCAGCAGATACTAGGGTTGTACATATTTGACATAATAGGGGTTAAATTAATACCTTCTGTAATACAAAATTTTGCATTTGTTTGAAAACCTTTCTGGTGAACCTCAAACCAGTTTGATGAAGAGAATCCCTCAAACAAATTCAAAGATTTCAATAACTGGAAAAATATCAGTTGACACCTTATTTTTATATCAAATATCAGCAAAGTTTCAATTTTTTAAAAATTTTATGGTAACCTTCAATATTGCAGGTCAACACAACGTATATTTTTAATGTTCATAAACTCTGAGGGCTTTGTTCATACTTGATATAATTCGAGGGGGTTTATTATATTGTACCATTTCTCAAATTTTCTAGAAATTTCAATAACAATTTGGGTTTTGTTGTGATCAATATCATTTAAAGCGTTTTTGATATACTAAAAGTGAAATATAATGATGTGATTCATTTTTTAAATAATCAGGTTAAACATGAACAATATATATTATAAATTTAATGTAAAGTAAAAAAAATGTCCAACTTACAACAGAAAAATATCTCTATCTATAAGATATTGTAATGAATATTTAAATTTCTTTATTGTAGATTCAGATAATAATAAGAAGAGAGATTATATTGAGAGGGGTGATGAGTTTTGTTGAAAAGTGGAAAAGGAAGAAAGTTAAGAAGATATAGAAGAGAGTTGTATGGATACTTTTGGTCTAAAGCTAACTCAGTGGTTAATATGGTGAGAGTGAGGAAGTGGTCATTTTGTATTATAGCCCCTCAGACATGTTCAATGTTATCAATTTCTTGTTATTATAATGCATAAGGTAGTGGATTCAATAATGTTACTGCTATTTGTTTTCCCATGGAGATGGTAATTTTTCGTTAACTTTGAGTCAAGAAGAGAATAACACGCCTTTTTACTTTCTAGCTTATAGCAATTCCTGAAGTCTATTAAATTTTCAGGAGCTTCTTATCTTTTGTTGTTCTAATGATGTATTATTTTGATGATTCTCTTTGAATTTAGAGAAAACCCTTGTGCCATTTTTGTTTTCTTCTCACCTAATAATCTTAAGCATCAACATCCTCTCATTTATGGAAATCCTTGGTGCCATGTTAATTTTCTCCGATCCCAAATATTTTTTTATAGTTATTGTAATAACTTGTCATTTGTGCGGTTTCCTGAATAGGATATTAGCAAAAAATCACCAATGGAGTTGATCAATGAAGTTCCACCAATTAAGGTCGAAGGCAGGATTGTTGCATGTGAAGGAGGTTAGTTTGTTTCAATATTTCCTATTATTGCTTAAATGGGTGATTTAACTTCATTTCTCTAACAAGTAATAGACGTCGTTTCTGGTTGTAGATACCGACCCGGCACTTGGGCATCCAATTGAGTTCATATGCCTTGACCTAAAGGAGCCGGCTGTTTGCAAATATTGTGGTCTACGTTATGTTCAGGATCACCATCACTAGGACTTCTACAATTGCTAGTGTGAGCCATTGTCATGCTTACTGGATACATTCATTATCTAAGTTTCTATGATGGTTTGCTATGGCAAATGCTGGGGAAGATATAAATGTTACTGAGCAATAACTTTGTGATTTTCAACTCGTTTCAAGTCTCCATTTTACTGATTGTACTTGTGTTTAGTGTTTGGCAAAATAAGGACTTGATGCGGTTAATTACCATCAGCAGCATACGCAGATTTATGAAATTTTACCTTATTAATCAATTTTTTCTGCTATAGTTGCCAAGTTATTTTTTTCTTGTGTTTTCCACTACTGATTTATATTCAAATATTTCATTTAAGTTGAGGTGACCATTTAGGATCACTGCCAGAATCTGGTTTCAATTGGGGAAGGTTGAAGTCTGATTCATTTATACATTCCTATTCTCATTCCCATCCGCATCCAATCCACGACAGTTACACGAATGTAAGATGGAATTGCTGAACTAGGATTGGTTAAAGTATCTTATCTAGAGTACAAGCATAAAGGAAGAAGAATAAGACGGCAAAATATATTAAGACTTTGATCAAACGGGGGAATGGAAGGAGAATACATCATGTGAATTCCGAGAAACAGAATTTATTGACGACCTATGAGTAACTTCATCAACACTGAAATATAGAAGAATCTAAGGCAAGGGATACCAAAAAACCCCACACAAACGGGGAATAAATGATGATAACAACATGAGTTATTGACGACCTATAAGTAACTTCATCAGTACTGAAATATAGAAGAATCTAAGGTAAGGGATACCAAAACCCCCCACAAACGGGGAATAAATGATGATGATAACATGAGGCTCTTCTCAAAAAATTGATAACATATGCCCAAAACTAAAAGACATGGGCCAACCTAAATTACATAAGAGTTGCTCATCAAATTTTATGTATTCATAAATCGACATACTCATCTACCTTTCCTTTTCAGCCCCTATGCAAAACTGTCGAATAATAATAAGAATGATGCTAAAACCATCTTTAAGAGCTACCTCCAACTGCAGCGGCAAGTTTACTTCTTTGCTGATGCTCCGTTACTTTATAATCTACGACTTCACGGAAAAGGCTTGGATCCAGCACACAATTCTCACTTCCATAGACACTGGCTTGGACACTAGCCATCAGTTTCGCTATTTCCCTTCCAGAAAATCCTTCAGTTTTAGCAGCTGCTTCCATTAAGACATCATCAGTCAATCCTTTAATCTCTATCTTTTGCTGTTCACCTTTGAATAGTTTCTGGAACACGCCAGATTTTCTTGATCCAGCTTGAGCAATATATTTGTCAAGATAGAGCTTTAGCAGCTTGAACCGTTCATCTTGCCCAGGCAAAGGGAACTCCAGGGCTTCGTCAATTCGATCGGCCACTGCTGAATCAAGATCACCAGGGCGGTTAGTGGCAAGTGCAAGGACTATATCCTTGGATTGGTCACCCGTTCGGAAAAGGAGAGCATTAAGTGCACTTCTTTGAGCTTCACTCATGTAAGTTTTGTTCCGCCTGCAAAATATTTGGTCAACAGAATCAACCATCGGTCAGGGTTATTGTACTCCAACCGAAAAAGACTTGCTAATTAACTAATATCAACAATATCAAAAAACTTAATTGTGAAATTCTATTAAAAACTGTCTCACAGAGACATATACATAGCATTCAGTTGGATCATTGTATTTCTGTACGTGGCATTCCTAATGAGTGTATTTATATTTTCCATGGCATTCCAAACTATCTAGCTTCCCCAATGTGTCGAGCCATCTGGCTCATGCTCCTAAAAATCATTTAATTATTTATACAGTAATATGCAAAGTTTTTACTTGTTTTGCGATGGAATTTCCTTACACAATATAATCAAATGGTAAGTATCACTTACTCGCACAAAAAAGCATCTGCTTCATCAATGAACAACAATAAACCCCGGTTAGACTTCTTAGCCCAATCAAACAGTTGGTGTATCTTGGTAACAGCCTGTGGCCCCAGTGGAGCAACATCTCCACCTGTCATCAATGCATAATCTAGCCCCTGCACGTATGGTTTAAAAATAAATCAATCAATGAAAACAATTATAGAAGAAAGAAAAAAGAATTAATAGTTTGGCACTATTACTCAAAGTTTCCTTAAATTATCAGATGACAGCATATGAAAGCAAAAACAGAGAAGAGTTGTCCTGACAATTCATAAACTTCTCCTAGTTGAATTAGACCTCGTTTCACAATTGTCCAAGGTTAAACCACCATTTAAAGTTTGAAATAATGATAAAATGTGTATATATCAAACTTCTACAAGCAACCTAAGCGTCAAGGTCAAATCCAGAATTGCAAAGCAGAATTTTGAAGCTACTCTGACGAGTGGAACAGAAAAATGAAAGCAACAAAATATTTACTGGTAAATCACATATCCGTCTTACTTTGTCAAAAAGATGTGAACTTGCCCAGAAAGGGGGGAAGAAAGAGGAGAATAACCAAACATACAAGCCTCTAAACAGAAATTTTCTGACAATAACAGAGCATAATGATGAAAGATCTTACAGATTTACGAGCCAGCTCTCTAGCAGCCATTGTTTTCCCTGTTCCTGGAGGGCCGTAGAAGAGCATGTTCCGAAATGGTGCATTGTGTGTTTTTGTATTGGCAGTTGCTCCAGCCAGCTGTTCAACTCTTTTCTTAAGAGATGGGTGTAGAATCACATCACCAAATCCGTTTCCATTTTTCGAAGCCGGCTCTTTGTTACTACCACGTAAAGAGTTTACGGCACGTGAAAACAAGCCTGACCAAGGATATTTTCCCCTGGAGGACTCCCTGATTAGAGATGGTTGTCCCAATATTCTATCCACATATCCCCAAATCACCCTTGCACCTTCTCTGCATTGGAGAAAAAATAAAGTAATAAGCCAATGAAACTTTAAATGCCATAGTTCACAAGGCTTGGTAATTAGTGGCTGCAGAGCAACAAACATGAATTCTACAAACTCACATTGGGTACAATAGACATGAATTCTACAAGCCCAAAACCAATCTCAAGATTGCAAAACAACAAAAAATTGTCTAAATGCGTGAAAAACCGTTCATCCAGTGAAAATGAATATTAAGAGTTAATAATGATAGGCATTACACCATAGTCACACACACAGCCCATACTTCCACTCTTGTACAGTTTCACTCCCAAAGCAAAGACTAGCTTTCCTAAAAAGACATCATCTGATGAGAACAAGGTGTCTCCAGAACTACAGAGATAGGTGGATTTCTATGATAGCTAGATAAAACAGTAACCAGGAAGATTGTTTGAACAGAACTACAGAGATTGGTGACATTCTTTAAAAGATGGCAATTTTTTCCACACACAACCCTTCTAACATCAAGGGGTGTACACCATGAACCATCTATTAGTCAAACAAACTAAAAGATTCAAAATACCAAAATAATTCCTTAGAATCAACAGGTAAAACCCACACATACATGTGAAGTATTCAGATGAGAATCCTCAAGTAGAAACTTAATGGTTACCTTGTTGTGTATACTCCTGCTGCCAGAGCAGTCACTCCCCCAACCGCAACAACAAGTTTATTTTGGTCAGTTAATATAGCTCGCAAACCCCCTACACAAAACAGATCCATATTAGCCGCACCTTCTAAAGCAACAAATTAAACAAGTAGCATCAGATTAACACTATAACAGGATGGTATGGCCAACATGTTGTCACTAAGGTAAAACTTTGGAATGTGGCATGTCACAAAGGTAAAACTTTGGAATGTGGCATGTCACAAAGGTAAAATTAAACAAGTATATTTGATTTCTAATGAAAACACTAGAAGATATTTTAAAGTTACAAAAGGTAATATTTACTAAACAATCAATTGCATAAGCTTTCTTGAGATAAAGAGTATGCAATTGAATTTATACCCCCAATATGGTCAAAGGTGGTATTTATGGCAGCAACCCATTTCTCTCTTTCTGCATTTGCACGATCTACTAGCATTCTCCTGTTAACCTCTTCAGTTAGCTTTGCTTCTTGGGCTCTCCCTTCTGCTTCTGCCATAGCTTTCACCCTGATTGTTTCACGTTCTATCTCAGCCTTTTCCCTTTCTGTCTGCCGCCTTTGTGCTTGAATCTGTTCTTCTGTAGCTCTCCTAGCTTGCTCCTGCCTAATTGATGACTCTTCTTGCATTTTTACAAGCTCTTGGTTTCTTGTTCTATGGTATTCATTTTCTGCCTGCAAGTAGATGTACCTGATTAATAATTCTCCATAATACAACTACTATGTGAATCTCAATATATTCATGTACATGCCTGCATCCTCTTCCTTGCCAGTTCGTCCTCATAACGGGCCATCTGGGATTTTGTTTGTGCCTGCTGCTGAGCTAGCTTTTTTTGTTCATCATATATCACCCTTTGTCTATCCTGCCAGAAAATAGTTAATGATTTCAGGAAACAAATATGTGCCCATAAAAGCAGTTTCACAGGCCACATAGCTTAGAAAAGCAAGTATATATGTATCATAAATTCCTCATTCAAAAATCTGGTAATCGACACTGATAAAGGAGGTCACAGCCTTTGCATTTTTATTCTTTATTTATTTTCTCTTTTTTACTATCTTATCTTAAAAGCTGATAAAAAAGCTCATCTTGCTTAGTTTAAACTAACTCCGATTTCCTATCAAAGCACAAGTCACTTAACTTGAGTGAAGGCAAAAACAGGGTTAAAATAACCAGCCAAAGAGGAATTTAATTTGGCAAGTTGGAACAGATACCGGGTGGAACCATCAAGGATATTTTTCAGGCAGATATGACTAGATTAGATGAGATTCAATTCACAAGCACAGGCACAGGCATGAGAACACTCGGCCAACTCCGTAAAATATTCAACTTTCACAATACTGCCAAATTGCTATCACAGCTGCAGAGTTTAAATATATTGAACTTCGATCACAGGCTGTAAAACTACAGCACTCGGAGCAGCCTGTCATTTTTCTCTCTCTAAATCCTTAACAAAGAAATAATCACCACTTTAAATTCAAATTCTATTCTAATTATCTTTCTTTCCAAAAGGGCTGAAACTACTAATTCTCCAGATAATCCTCAGTAACTCAAATAACAAGGACAAGACTAGGTCTCATAATTTCTACTCACTGAAGTATCAAAAGACACAAATTGAATATTGCCATATTTTATTTGAATTGCACATTTATTCTGGATTTATATTCATGTTCTTTAGTTTTTCATTTTGATATGCATTTTAAGGGTTAACCTCATCTTTTTCTCCTGGTTAGATGTATGTATTTTCTTTCTTATTATTTGCATTGCATGTCTGTTTCTAGATTCACTTGCAAGAAAAATGAGAGATTAGGTGCCTTTAAAGGGTGAGTTTGGAAAACTAATTACAATTGCCAACAAATCTCAGAACCAGTAAATTCTTGACTAATCAAGCTGAAATAGAATCACATTAACAATGGGAAAGACGGAATAGTTTCCTACTGTTTCAGCTTGAGCTTGCATTGCTTTATATTCTGCAGCCTTTGCAGCTATTTCTGCTTGTCTTGTCTCCTCTTGCTTCAAAATAATCTTAAATGCCTACACAAAAAACACATAACGTCAACATTTTGTAGTTCCAACATTTTTTCCAAGAAAAATATAATGCTCCATGAACCAACTAGCGTATAAGCAAATGCATCATTGAAATTTCCATTATACAAAAATCCCTAAAGAAAAAAAAAAAAAAATTCAATGCAGAACTAAAATAAAAATATAAAATTACCATTTTTATTCCATTTCAAAACATTCATTTTCCTATATCACAGCATAATAACATTTCTAAAACTAATTAGTACCCAAAAACACGAATATATGGTATCGGGCTAGTACCATACTCCTCCCAATCCAAAAAAAAAAAAAAAACCAGCAATAAATAAAACAAACAAACAAACAAACCAAACACATTTCAAGAACCGTCCAAATTTCAGACCTCTTTACTATTAGGAGATTTGTTGATCTTCCTCAAGGCCTCGGCACCTCTCTCCAACGCCTCAGGATCGAACCCGGCCGAGCTCGTCCTGGGATTATCATTCCTCACTTTCGGAGGCGGAGGCGGAGGCTCATCCCCAGCCGTCGACGGCTGCGGTGGAGGTGCATTGGGCGGCGGTGGAGACTGCCCAGATTGAGTAGTGAGAAATGAGAAGGGAGAGTAGTTGGAAGGGCCATCAGAAAAAGCGGTGGTAGAAGTGGCTGCCGCGAGGGCTGAGATTAGACCTATTGCATGTGTTTTAGACATGATTCGTGGTGGATTGAAGAGCTAAATTTTAGGGCTTATTGGGGAAATTTTGGGTTTAAGAGAAAGAAAAAAGTGAGGTTCTCCATAGAAAAAAAGAAGGTGTTTCAGGGTTTTTGTAGGGTTTGTGTTTTGTGTGCTAGGTTTTATGGCGGTTTTCTTTTATGTGGAGGGTTTGAACCGGTTTGAGACGGTTCGGGAGCGAACCGGTTAGCCTGCTGAACAAGTGAAGGAGAATTAATTATTTAAAACATCTATTTAAGGATACATTATATTTAAGTTATATTTTTAATTTAAAGAGACAAATTGCTTAAAATTTACTACATATTATTATTTAAATAATCATATTTACTCATTATATTTGAGTCTATTTCATATTTTACTCATTATTTAAAATTTACTACATATTATTATTATTTAAAGAGACAAATTGTTTAAATTATTTAAAAATATAATTATTTTGTTATATATGTTTAAATTATTTACTGTTTTATTATCTAATTCATTATATTTGAGTCTATTTCATATATCCATTACATAATCATTTAGTCTTAAGCGTACTCAAGGTTTTTGAAAAATTATTAAAAACCAGACATGGCAAACGGACAGGCCGGCGGGTACTGGTCGGGTAATCACGGGTGTGGGTGGACGGGTAAAAAATTTTGGACAGGAAGAGAAATATACTATGCAAGAATGGGTCGACCCGTGGGTCACCCGCAAATTTTACTATTTTTGACTTATCCTTTTTGTTCTTCTTCTTTACACAATCCAATATTTTCCTCACCAATTTAAAATCCCAATCTCAGAAATTATCTCCTCCACTATTAACTCTTCAAAGTTCAACAACCATGACGATAACCATAACCATGTTCAAGATCAATAATCTATCACCATCCCTTTACTTTGCGGCCAAAGATCCTCCATTAATTCCAGCTCTCAAGTCGCCATCGTCGGCTCTTATGTCTGCCCCATTGAAAGCTTGATTATGAGTAAAGTTTCAATCTTTACACCGCTTCAATCTTGATTGTTAGGCTTATTGGGTTCTTCAATAATCTTGGCTCCATTTGGTACAACATTTTTACCTTATTACCTTATTTTATTCCACTATCTTATCTAAATATATGTTTGGTTTCAATATTTAATTTTTTTTTTCAAAATACAATACTATTCTATTCAACTTAAAAATTTAGATTATTTTTAACCCCTAAATTTATTAATTTAATTAAACACTCTCAACAGTAAAAATCTATAAACTGACAAAAACACCTCCACTCACCAATATTTGCTAGATTCCGGCTATCACCGTTGAAAGGGGTCGGACTCTACCATAATGGCACAGTATTGGTTGGATATGGCTGATAGTGCATCAATCTAGTCTTTTCCGGCTAAATCCACCATGGGTTTGACCAAAAAATGCAAGATTTACGGCCGCAAGATCTAGCCACATCTAGTTGTTGACAACGGCCATATCTTGGTCATCATTTGGTTGTCAACGACAGCCAGATGTGTGGCTATAGCTATGACATTTTTTTACCAGATTCACGGTGGATCTAGCCAAAAAATGTTAGATCGGCTTACTACTGGCTATATCTAGCTGGTAGTACGATATTATGGCAGATTTCGATTACCTTCCGATCGTGGTGACCGGCTATCGGTAATACGTGAGTAGATGGGAGTGTTTTTATCAATTTATAAACTTTTATTATTGAGTGTGTTTCTTTAAATTAACAAACTTAGAGGGTTAAAAATAATTTAAATATTTTTAAAAAATACTATTAAAAATGTATAAAAATCTTCCTAGACTACTACTCAACTCAACTTTTTGAGAAAGACTGTCCTAAAAAAGTGCCAAAATAGTGAATCAAACGGTCCGCTTGCTGTTGAGAATATTGCAGGGATCAAGTTTGTGGTTACTTCTAATATGATGTTAGCCACCAAATGCGTGCTACAAAGGAACTAGTTTTTGTTTAGCGCTTCTCTTTTTTTGGTGGGGTTTGTTTGTTTATTTGTATTACAGCTATGGATTCGCCTTTCCAGTGTTTTTTGTTTCTAATTTAGTACTCACTCTGTGGATGATGCTGACAATTCAAAGCAGATATAAAATACTTGCTTCATAATGCATTAATGGAAAACTCAAATGCAGACCCAGGATTTTTACCTGGAGGACCTTTGTGGCTCGCTATTATTTGCTAATCAATTAATAAATTTTTTTTTAAAAAGCCACCAAACATTGAGTAAAGGAAATAATAAAATATCAAGAAGCTGAAAAGAAAGAATGCCATAACACAATATTTTCCTATTTAAATAAATATATGAGAAACAAAACCTTGAGCAATTGTGTTGAAAATAATATCTAATTCACAAGGAAACACAAGAAAATTTTTACGTGGAAAAAATTTCTTTAATGTGAAGAGAGCAAAAACCTTAAACCCTAAATCTTGACCTAATTTGCTTTCAATTCAAATTCTTTTCTTACTAATTAATATTATTGATGTCTTATGAAAATTTGTGAAGACATTGGAAGGAAGAAGCAAGGGCTGAATAGAAAAATGAGCTTGAGTTATATGCATTTTTAACATAATGTTTTATATGATTAAGTTCTTTATAAAATTAAATAGTAAACAATTCCACTAACCGTTGACACTAGATTGTTACAATCAAAGTTCAATGAATGATTCAAATTGAATTATAATCTGATTATTTTTTTAATTATGTCACATTATTGTCATTAATTAGAGGATAGATTTGTGAAAAGAGTATAACATGATCATTTGAAACTTATTAAAATCAAGGAAAGATAATGGTAATTATTAAGTAGGTTATTATTTTATAATTATATAAATTATTAATTTTCATTTCTATTAAAAAGGGGTGTAAATTATTGCATGGAATCTTTTATTAGTAGAGGGAATTGACATGTGTTAAGTAATTAATTAGGTAAATGGATGAAAGACAGAAAGGTAAGTACAAATGAAATGACTAGGGGTGTTCAAAATCGGTTAATTAGGTAGATGGATATTAACCGATTTTGAACACCCCTAGTCATTTCATTTGTACTTATCTTTCTGTCTTTCATCCATCTACCTAATTAATTACTTAACAGATGTCAATTCCCTCTACTAATAAAAACCGATTTTGTGTATTGAACCAATTTTTCGGTTCAGAAATTTTCCTAAACCGAAACCGAACAGATTAAGGAAAAAATTGATTAGTAAAAATTGGTTAACTGATTTTGAACTTGTTTTAATTTAATATTTAATATTTAATATATTTTTTAATTTAATAATTTTATAACAAACTGGATTTTTTTATTTTTTATTTTAATTAATATTTTTATAATAAATTGATTTGTAAAATTGGTTTCTATATTCTCCCAAACCGATAACCAAACCAAAAATTCGATTTTTAATTTTCTTTGGACTGAAATCGAACCTGTTTTTCGAATAATCAAAAATTCAGTTCGGTTTAATTTAATTTCTGAATTTTTTTAACACCCAGAAATGACAGTGAGACTAGGTTATAGAATTAAAATTCACAATTAATAGTGATTTGTGTGGTATATTATATGAACTAAATTAGGGGAAAAGGGGAAGACAAAAAGATCAAATTAATAAAGAAGGTAGAATTCCAAAGGCTAAGGAGAGAATCTAGGGAAGACTTTTCTATAGGAAAAATTGGTTTTTTTTTTTTAATAAAATTTGAGGGTAGAGCCGAGTCTACCTTCAAATGGGCTGGGTTCGCCCCTACTCACATGTGCCTTCGTCATTATCTACATTAAAGAGAAGTCTGATTTTTCAACCAATAAATTAAATTAAATTGAAAGAGAGGTTAAATTGTAGAGGTCACTTCGCCTAAAGAAAGAGAAAGAGATTGAGATCTAAGTGAGAGAGAAGACAAGAGTTCAGCATGAGAGAGATTGAGAGCTGCCAGGCATTGGCTGCGTGAGAGAGAAATATCAAATGGTTTGGGACTTTTAAAAAAAAAAATTAAATGTGGGTATCCACGGGTATCACCCGGCCCATCCGTTATTTTTGCGGGCGGTTCAAGTACAAGTAATTATTATGGTTATCCATACCCGCCTGTTTTACCCAGGTACTCATGGACCCACGGGTACAAGTGCAACTTTGCCAGGTCTATTAAAAACCCTCTTGTAATTAGTGAAAACCAATTTGTGATAGGGAGCTTTTTACAATTTAAGGGGTATATAATAATTATATAGATTTTTTTTATTGTTTTCAAATAGCTTGAGCATGCTTCATATTAAACAATACCAATCTTGAATAATTTTCACTTTTTATAGAATAATTATACAGGTTTGGGTATTTTTTTTTTAATAATGATTTTATAGAATAAGGAAAAAGTTTAAATAAAGGGAATTTTTAGCCAATTGTAATTCTATTTAAAAAAATAAAATAAAGAATTACACTTAAACGGGAAGAACCCAAGACAACATAACCCTAAGCAAGAAGGGACGACGCCAGAAAAAAGAGCAAAATGGAAACCGAGATATATAAATCCTTTACACACCTAACCACACCCCAAGAACAACCAAAATCCAGCCAAGGGTGGCTATACAAAGGCCCTTTAAAAGGCCAAGAAAAAAACAGTGGCCACAATCTGGCACATAGTCATATACAAACATGTGGGTCCAATTAAACCCACTCAACTTTTAAAAAAAATAAAAAAAGTTTTTATGTTTTATGGAACTTACAATCTTAATCCTACTTAAATTCATGTTAACCCTACAAAAATGAATTATTTATTAGTACTTTTTTAACTTCTCTCTCTTTTTCATTTTCTCTCATATTATCTTGGCCGAACAACATACTCTCACCCAAAAAAACACGCCTGTAAAAGACACGCCTGGGAAATGAGTTTGATTCAAAACCTATACTTTTGTTTTGTTTTGTCTTTGTTTTTTTTTTTTTTTTTTTTTTTTTAAAAGCATAATATTAAACATCTCATATCCATAAAATGATTCAAGAAATTTAGCTTCCTACGGAGTTAATAACATAAGTATATAATATCATTTAACATTTTTCATTCATTTGACAAAGAAATGGTCATACTAGGTTTATTTTATCAAAACATATTTACTTCAATATCCATAAACCAAA